ATTATCTAGGTAAAATTCTATAAAAAATATATTTTCTTATTTTCCATAGCAGTTGCGCCCCCTAGCGGCCGTTTTATAAACTTGAAAATTATTTCCAGCAATTTCTCATAGCCCGTTTAGTTATAAATATTTTTTTCCGTAAGCCCTACGGCTAATACTTTTCGAGATACAGCCGAGGGCTATTCTTAGTGGGACACCCTGTACACTATCGTTTTTATTTAATTACAATATACGGTATGATCGAAAATAAAAAACGTCAAAGAGGGCTAGTGAATGACAGTCGATGATAATTTTGCCGAGGCTCTATAGACGTCAATTACTAAAAATTAACACATAAAGGTTGTTAAAAATTAAACCTAATTATAGAGAGATTAAAAAAGGATAGAACGTTTCCAGACACGCAAATCTATTTCCAAAAAATATTTATTCTGGAATTTTAAACTACACCATTTAAAATTCTTTTTTACTCACAATAAAAATAAAATGCTGTTGAAAAGGACTTCATCTGGCCAACATTCTCAACAATTGACATTTCCAGCCATCTTTGACGCCGTTTTTTTTTTATCGTATTGTATTATTGCATATTCGATATTAGAGAAACATGAAAAAACAAAAGACGCGCATAACGAATGACGCAAATTTTCGATGCTAAAGAACAAATTTGCGACCAAAATTTTTGTGACAATTTTTTTGGGACTATCTATTAATTCAACACGAACGCTAAATTGATCAATGAATACTGACGACCCAGCTTACCATAGGTATTTACACTCACACACACACACACACCAATTGCTAACGCTTTGTAGGGTAAGGACACCTCGAAAAAAAGACTACTATATTTATGATCAACCTTGCTTATTTAAAAAAAAGGAATCACCTGAATTTTTTCGCTCATATTCTGTTAACTCCTGTATAAAAAAACTAGAGTTATAACCACAGATGCACCCGTATAGTTATTATCCGTTAGTAACTACCATATCGAATTTGAGTAATTATGGAAATGAATATCTTAATGACATTCAAGATTGTCATCATATTTCATGATACTCCGCTACTTAATCGGCATTAATATTTCAAGGAATTCAACTTCAATTGAAATACGAACTGTTAACTTATCCATCACTGTATTATTGCAGTTTTTTTTTCACTTTTATAGCATACGACACTAAAAATGTTATTTCTTGGAAAAAGTCTTAACTGACATCTGTTACAGATCTGTAAAATTCTCAAGCTTAAAATGCAATAATATCCCTATTCATTATATTTAATTTGTTGTGCGTTTTTATCGAGGTTTTTATATAATATGTAATTCAACACCTATTTTCAACTCATCAGGTGTTTAATTTTAATCCCCCGTTGATGATGTTTTTTCTAAAAATTAAGGAGCCGTCCTGTACCAGAAACACTGCGACCTGTAAGACCTATTGTGTTTGTCCCGTTTCTACGTCTGCACCCAATCTCCGATCTCTGTACCCTGCACCCACTTATGCAGGTCCTTGATAGGATGAGAGCATAGCTGTTGGGGTTCTAGCCCTGGTTTTCCAAATAGAAAGTGTCGCTTGCGATCCAGAGTCTCGCAGTGACATATTATGTGCTCCGCTGTTTTAGGATATTTATCGCAGAGTCTACATCAGGCAAAGATTTTTTTTCATACAGGTTGAGCTTGTTCAGGTAACACTTGACCGCCATATGTCCTGTCAAGAGAGCTGTTGTAATCCGCACTTTATTCCTACTATGCACTAGCAGTTCCTTTGTGGTTTTAGAATTAGGTCCTTTCTTGCTAAGGTTGTGCCTCTATCTATTTCTCCAGTGGACATTTTACTTTTCCCTGATGCAGAATTTTACTGCACTACGTGTTATACAGGGTGAGTCTCCTACGATGTTCTCTGTGGGTATCTCGGAATCTACTGGAGATAGAGAGTCGGTTAAATGGAGAAAGAATTGCAATTTTGAGGCGTCATAAATATGCGCCTTTGAGATTTTTGAAAAAGTTCATGGCTTACTAGATATTTCGAAAAAAACGAATTTCGGCTATTTTAAAAATTGTCCCTAATTCCATTATAAGCTATTTTAGACAAAAAGTTTTCAGATAAAAGTTATAGATAATCACATCCTTAATGAGATTGTGTCCTCCGTTTTTTTCTAAAGCCTGTCATTTTTGACATATGACACGAACATATGTTTTTTTAAATGGGAACCATAGTTGGCCATGACTTCCTAAAAAGCGCCATTTTTTAACCTTTTTAGCGATATAAGCTATAATATGTTTTCTTCAAAAAATTACTGAGTTATAGCCAATTCTAATCATTTTTAAACAATTTCACTTAGTTAGCCACGGAAACAAGTTCAATCGTCTTTTCTCTCATAAATGTGAAGCTGTCACATCCAAACTTTGTAAATTAAAATAAACAAAAATTGTAAATATGAATTTTTCAAATGAAGAAAAGCGTGTAGGATTTATTGGTTCAACTTTTCTTGACCATACATTTTCGAGGATACGTTGGCCGGTGAATGTTGATTAAAAATTATTATTTTTAACACAGCCATGGCACACATGGCGAAAGTGTCAAAAGTTGACATATGATACAGGGACGGATACAGGATTTTATTTTATGGGAGCCCAAATAAAAAGTAATGTAGAATATACGTTTTAGGGAGCCATTTTTAACCCAAAAAGCCTAATATTTAAAGCAATTTATAGACTCTGGGTCCAAGGCCCCTTGGGCCCATAACTATTCAGAGTGTCATTTTCTATCTAATAAAGTAAAAATATACCAAGGGTGCCATTTAAAAATCAAAAGTTGTCATTTCCGGTAAAACAGGAAGTGACCAAAAATAATTGAATACGTCAATCAATCCTAAACAGACCTGTGCCTGTATATGTGCAAAGCTTGTAAATTCAAGATATAGAGAATCAATTTTACTGAAATTAGACAACGGGATAACGTCTCTACCGAAAAAAGAGCCACTGATGAAGGATTCCTTTCTGACTTTTTTGCGCGAAACCACTCTATTGTTTTTGAAGGGATGGAATGAAGAATGTCAACAAGCCGTCAATGTAGTCAAATGTATTTTGCTATTTACCCAACCCTGGACGCACAGTGCGGCGTAAAATAAAATATCTCTTAATGAAGCGAAATGTGTCAAAGCCAGTCTCGGGGAATTGCATAAAATGTCGCCTGAATGGAACAGGTGAGCGGAAATGCGGGTATGCTAACTTTTTTCCCTTTATTACTATAATGTTAATAGCTCCGGTGGGTATTTCGTTTCGATGCTGTTGCGCAATGGGGAGTGTTATTGATATTAAATTAAATTAATATGGTACGGAAATGGACGAATAAAACGGCTTTTTACTTGATGCTGTAACTATTTCGAAAACTCGTTGCAAATAAAAAGTTTACACGTTTACACAACAAAGTCAGACTTTTTTGGTCATATAATTATTATATTGAATTAATTATTATAAGAAAAAATATTACTACACTTAGATGTATTTTAAATGACATCATTAGATTAAATTCTTCGAGGTAGTAGTTTGGTTTGGTGGACCACAAATCTTTTGTGGTCTTCTTATTATTCGTAGGTTACATTCTCCAGTCCTGTCCTTTTCAAAAAGTTTGGCAAGTTAATACATACATACCGCCATTACTCGCTGACGAGTATTTGACACGCATCAGAAGATGGTTACGCAAGGCGTTTCCTTTCATGAGCTTTTCTGTGACTGAAAAGCCCGATACGTGATGTTATCTCTTCTCCGCACTCCGGACATTCAAAAATCTCATTTATTTATTGCCTCTAATGCCTCTTTACTTTTTGGTCGTCGCTGTTAACGCAGTTTACAATTATTCTTCACCATTGCATTCTATTGTGCGCTGGTTCTTCCTACTCATTCTGCATGTTTATCCCCTTTCAGTTTTTCGTGAAAATATCCTTGTACCTTTTGAGTTATCCACCCGGTTTCCTTTTACCGTCTACAAGCTCACCGTAAAGCAGAGATTTTTGTAGGCGGTTTTCTTGCATTCTGCATACGTGACCAAGCCATCTTAAGCGGGATTTTGTAATCATGACTTCAACACTCTCGCAGCTAGCTTTTTCAAGGACCGATACGTTTGAGACATGGTGGGACCATTTGATTCTTAAGAGTTGTCTAAGATGTCTTTATTGCAACTTGTTTAATGCATTCTCGTGTCGTCGGTACGGCACCCAGGTTTTGCTTCCATACAACATGGTGGGGATTTGATCGGTACACTGCAGGTTTGGCTTTAGATGCGTATTCAGCTTACGTTGCCCTGTTAGTAGACGACAGCTTTGACTATCTTTCTGCCTCTGCTTATCGTGATTTATCATTGTTTTGAACAGAAGATGGCTAGTTTAAACTTCTTAGTACATAGATTACTTAGTTTTCTACTTACTGATGATATGAAATAGAAAATATTCGGAATGTAGCTAAATGTAATAGTTATGCTACTGCATAAGTTGATAAAATAATAATTAAAACATAGGTATAAGTTTACGGGGTAATCCTGAAAGGCTCGACCTTTGTGTAAAAAGACACGTCAAATTATGCCACAATATCGTTTGATAGAGTAGTAGGAATCAAAAAAAAATGAGAACTTTTTTGGAAATAGATTTGTGTGTAACATTGAACTTGGAAACGTTCTATCCTTTTTTCATCTTTCTATAATTAGTGTTGACAAGTTTTGTGCCAATCTAAAGATTTACTAAAGTAAATAATGCCTAGAGATTGAAAGTCGCCAAGATTATCATCGATTGTCATTCCCCAGCCGTCTTTGACGCCGGTTTTTTTTATCATACGGTATTAGATAGTCCTAAAGATAAAACATCTTCATAGGAAATGTGGAATGTTTCTATATACTTATAAATTGCATTTAGTGTCTTATTGATAGGTATATTAATTTTTAAACATAATAAAAGTGGAAATTTTAAATCGCACAATGTAGTGAAGTTGATTATTATTGTTTTCCTTTTTGTTTCAGAAATAAGTGCAATAATGAAAAGCTCAGAAGAGAGAAAGAAAACTATTACATAGATGAGTTGGCCAACCTGATCTCCGACAATTTCTCGGACATGAGCTCGCTCTCGGTCAAGCCCGATAAGTGTGCCATTCTCCAAGAAACTGTCAATCAAATTCGTAGGATAAAACAACAGGTTAGTATTGATTTGTCAAATTTCATTAAATCTTTAATTAAAATATTTTAATTGATGCTGGGTTGGAACTTGAAGGCTAAGATCTGGACTATGATTCTAAATCTTTTCTAAATCGACATTAAAATCTTATATATTCTTCGAACTGATCGAAGTATTTTACTCTAACGGTAAAGTAAGGTAGTTAAAGGTAATTTTAAGTTAAAGGAAAATCTTTAGACATTTTTTGGGTGTATTTTACAGGATTCGAAGAGTTAGTTCGAATCCTGTAAAAGAAGGCAACAAAATATTTAAGCTGTTGATGAAAGGGACTGGTCCTGGTAATGCGTTTTTGGTTCTTGGTTTTATAGAAAAAGCAAGACCAAGACTCTCTTGGTCTTCGTCTTAGTCTTGCAGTTAATAAGAAGTAGTCTTGGCCTTGGTCTTGGAGGATCCAGTTCTGGTGCTGGTCTTGCTGCCAGAGACACTTGCAAGTATTGCATTTTTAAAAATAGATGTTTACTACATGCCTTTCTACATAGAAAATATTTAAATAAATAGTACTTTTAGTAATTTAATGCAAATAAAATAAAACTTTAAAGAAAGAAATTATTAGAATATGGTGTCTGACAATTTTTATTTTTTAATTTATTACTAAAGTTTATGCAATAGTCGCGAAAACTCTATTTTTAATAAATTAAAACAATACTTTTGAACAAATAAGTAATTTCTTATACAGGGTGAGTCTTAAATGAGGAAGTCTTGCACTGGTCAGTCTTTTTGTGCGCCGTCCAAGACCAAGACTAGCGTTTGATCTGCAAAACCAAGACCAGCCTCGCTTATCAATAACTAGCGATATATCTCTAAGACTCAGCATGCAAGATTCTTGCTTTTTTTTAATTTAAATTAAAAAATTAATATTAAATACTTCAAAATTCAATATTACATGGAAAAAACTTCAGCAAATAATTCCTTAACCACAAATTAACACAGATTTATCAGTAAGACGGAGAAACTAAATAAAACAAGGCTGCATTCGCTCCCTTTAAATAGGACATTTAAAGTACATGCTTATGATGAATACAATAAAGCTATGCCACAGATTAAGTATTATTTCAATTGGGAATACATTTTTTACAAAAAGCAACAATGCATTCGAGAAAGACTAAAATCGATATCATGGGTGTCTTTGTCTGGGTTGTCAACAGTCATAGTATTTCTTGCAGATGTGTAAATATTTTTTCTTCTTAATTATTAACCTGGATATGTTAACAATTTGACACAAGTGATTTCTTTTTCATCTATCATATTCAAAAAGTAACAGTTTTCAAGTTTTAAGAGCATCTTACGACATATTATTATTTATTATATCCAGATAAGCGATTTACTACACTATAATTTATTTCAGGAAAACGCGAACCAAACTACAGCCGATCCTGTGCAACAAGGCGAAGTTTCTTCATCAAGACCAACTATCCTTTCCAATGACGTATTTGGACCATTATTATTAGAGGCATTAGAAGGATTTTTATTTGTTATTAGCTCTGATGGCAAAGTAAGTTTTACTTTTATATTACAACAAATCTTGATTAATGAGGGACCAAAATAATTTTAAATGTATACAAATGCCGTGTGAAGTGTGTTCCAAAAAGTTTCAATAGTTTTTTTCAGTAACTTTTCAAATAAGTTCTATGGGCATTTCGCACTCTAAGAAAACCTAGAAAATAAAATAGTTATTTTTTGTAAACACTGCTGTGTTAATTCAATGGAGAGCAACTTTTCAGCAGTGATTTGCTAAGAAACAAATTTACGTAACGAACAAAAAAACGCTTAACGTTTCGAGAAGTATACCAGCGCTTTCAGATGGAGCGGATCGTTTGCGACTTCGAGCAAGTACCATGAGTTTATGTGAACAATTTCACATGGGTTGCGTATGCTCCGTCCGGATGATTTCGTCCGACGGCTATCTTGAAAAAACACAACGGACGGTCCGCGCGGACACTCCGCTCCATCTGAAAGCGCTGTACTTCTTTTCGTCTTAAGAACCAAAAAAATCACAAAGAACAAAGAAAAAAACTATTTAAAATATCTGAATACAACTATTCAAGAACACTTTAGTTTTTTTCAACAGATACGTCTACAAAAACCGTTGATGTTCTTTTAAAATGACATTAGGTATATCAAGTTAAACTCAAGTTACAAAATTAACAATTACTACCTGATAACAATTGTGTAATGAGGTAAAATCAAAAAGCCTTAGACTTTCTGTATATGATTATTTTTTATTTATTATAAATTTTATTAAAATATATTTATATAATACGTATTTCTAAAATAATGTGCCTGTGCCCCTGTCTGTTTCTCCAGTGGGCATTGTGGTTTTCCTTGATCCAGAGTTTTAGTGCACTACGGGCCATACATTTGGTATCATCGGTATTACCTATATTACAAATGTTTGGGTTCCTAAGTTCTTAGTCTAATATTCATTTTTTAAAAGAGTCGCATAATAAGCAATGAATCAACTCGAACGATTCTTTGAACGAACGAACCGTAGGAACAAACGGATCACAGTGTGATCCGATTCAATTCCTACGACTCGTTTACGACTCGTTCGTTCATATTTTATGTATCTGTAGTGGCTATGATTCATTTGAATGAACTGTATTCTGGGCATTAGTCCGATTCAATACTTTCGATTCATTTCTGCGATTCGTTCAAATATTCAAATTATTTTATACATGCGCCGTGCTCGTTCAATCTTTGCTAACGACTCGTTCAATCTTTACATTTGGATCTCACAACTTTTGTAGCGGAAGAATTTCATTGCGAGACTCGACATTTTCTTACATTTTTTGTTTTTGACGGGCTCTCGATTTTTGTCGTAGTCGGCTCATTGATTATTAACTACCTTTTTTATGTTTTTCCAGGTCGAGTATGTTACGGAAAATGTGTCCAACTACATCAAGTACTCCAAGGACGAGGTCACGGGAAAGAGCATTTACAATTTCATCCACCACGGGGACCACAACCATTTTCATACTAACTTACTGCCGATGACAGTCGAGTGGAACGACCAACCAGCAGCCACTCGATCCAAATCTATCGACATTCGATTTCTGGTCAAACAGCACGAAGATTTGGACGAAACAGTTGAGGAGAAAACACAACGAGTATGTTCCAATTATTATATTAAAAACATCAGAAAACGACTTTACCTTCTTTAGCGGCTCAAACGCACTGACGACCAGGGTACCTATTCTTGACCACTCGCATCTCCGAAAAAGTCATATAACAATACATGTAAATGCACATACGCAAATTGCGAACGATGTCAACAATAGCACTGAGTCGCAGCGACCAGCCAACGGCCAGGACGATAGTGCGGGTTGTACCATTTAATTTAATGGTATTACTGGTCGTCAGTACGTTTGACCTCTAAACGTTACCCCGTATACAGGGTTCTGCAACAATGCGTCGGGAATCTGTAGGTTCTATAACCAAAAGTTGTTAAAGAACTTAGAAGAGGATTATATGTAAAGTAATCAGAAAGAAAGCCAAAAAATGCAATAATATACATACATGGTATTCCATTTAAAAAAATCATCCCAATCCACTCACACTTCTTTGAGCCACCCTGTAGAAGTTAAAATATTTTCCCGAAATACATCCTAGTACATACTTTCGGTTTGCACTTAAGTATAAAAAATACTTAAATCAAAATATAAACAATAATATACAGAACAAAGAATGACAACTATCAAATCGATTGGTCTAGCCGGGTCAGCTCGTACCATATGTAAATAATGTGTTCACTAAAACAGGCGTACTAATACAATCCGCATTGTGTTATAATAATCTACTGTGGGAGCTGTCTAAGTCTAATGAATGTTGGCGATAATCCCAGCAAAAATTTTTTTAGTGTTATAATAACCGTAGCTAAATATCTATTTTATCTTTCCAGCTTTGCTCTTACGAGCTGATGCACATCTCCTCCACGCAGCTGCGCGAACAACTGTCCGTGTCCGACGAGGGCGACGCCAGCGACAACAACCCCTGCCTGCTTTGCATCGCGAGCCGGATCTCGCACCGCGACAAGGCCTCTTGCTCCTTCGAACAGTTCACCACCAAGCTAGACGCAACGGGCAAGATCATCGGCGTGGACACGTCCAACGTGGCCGAACCGCTCGGCCAGGTGCTGCGCAAAGACTTCAAGGACCGCGTGCTGCGCGACTTCGTGCCCGCGCAGGACCTTCACAGACTCAATACGCATCTCAGAGAGACGCTGAACAAGGGAACGTCGATCAGTGCCGTGTACCGTATACAGGTGGCGCCCGACAATTACGTTAAGGTGCAGACTAAGTCGAAGTTTTTTAAGACGAACACGCACGCGAACAGTGATACCGATTTTATTATGGCTACGCATTCGATAATTAGGTAGGCATTTTAATAATTAATTGTATTGATAAATCATTAATTAGTATTTAAGGTTTATAAATGAGACTAATAAGGTCCATCGCGAATAGTAAAATATTAAAATTGTCAATTTCAATTTGTATGCCATTGCAATGGCTTGAACAATAAAAAGCATAAACCTAAGACCAGAACCATCGTGAGGCCGTGAGCTAACAATCTTAAGTAATCATCTATCTTTTGTATATATATATATATATATATATATATATATATATATATATATATATACATTTTTCAAAATAATAAATACACATATCACTTATATCTTGATTAAAAAAATCTAATAATCTATTTTTTAGTAAATTTGTAATTGGCAGCGAAAAACCGCACAAAGTTAGCATTTACCTCCAATATGGTTCTGCGTAAGCTCTTTAGCTCATGCGGAGAAAAGGATAGGCATATACGATAATCTTGTTCTAGAAAGAAATATGTAGAAAAATTTATGTTAAAGTCACATATAAAGAAAATTGTGCGTAATATACATATATGGCATAGCTTTATCCACGAAATGTATAAGATATGTGATTAAAAGAATAAGAAGAATAATACATTTTTCAAAAAAATATTTGATATTGTTGTGAGGTCGGAAAATTTTCAGACCAACTTTAACCTGTAACTTTACTACTAGAGATGAGCAAAACTGCGATTCTCCAGTCGCAATTGAAACTGCGATTGCGATTTTTAATCCGTTGCGACTGTAACCTGCGATTGCTATATTAATATTTACATATTGCACTAGGGATATAATTGTCAGCTTAACAATTAAAAGAAGCTAATAAAAATCAGTTGTTTAGAGTATAATTTTTTTTTAACATCTGAACAATTTGACTCGAAATACCAAAAGTGTGGTACCAAATTATTCGTAAAAAATGCTTTTTCTAAAAAAAATATGCTAATGGGCCCACCTTCGTTCCGTTTAAAAACATTGCGGTACTTGAGATACGGTACGACTTCAGATATGATTAAAAATACGATTTTGGCATATTTTAATCGCCCAGGACAAGACCAGGGGCGGATACAGAAATTTATTTTAGGGGGGGGGGGCAAATAAAAAGTTATGTATAGAATATGCTTTTTAGTGCGACATTTTTAATCCAAAAGCCTAATATTTAACCCAATTTATAGATCTTAGGGATCTCTGTATCCGCCACTGGACAAGACACTAAAAACATTAGACAATCACTTTTTTTCCAAAGATCTTTGATTAAAAATTAGTGTTTTTAACACAGCCATGGCACTCTAGTAAATTTAAAATACGATTATTTTAAGCGTAAATTTCAAAAGTTGACATATGATAGACCTTCTATTCAAAGTGTCATTTTTATCGAATAAAATAAAAAAATACCGAGGGCGAGGGTGCCATTTAAAAATCAAAAGTTGTAGTCCGTTCCGGTAAAACAGGAAGTGATCCAAACGAATTGAATACGTCAATTAATCCTAATTTATGTCATACTCACAAACCAAATCTCATTTTTTATCAGAAAAAATTAAAAAGTTATGCGAACCACTCTTGAGAAACACCCGGTAAAATGATCTTGGTCCTAGAAAAATAATGCCTTCTGTATAAATAGATAAAATCAGAGTAACAATTCAATTGCAGTTTACTATAAAATGCTTCAATGGACCACAAAATTACATTCGCAACAAAATCGCAAATCGCAACGCCTAAAAATTCTCTCCCACAGATAGAAGGTTATCACGGGCCTAGTTTACAAAATCACAATCGCAGCGAAATCGCAAATCGCAACACGCAACTAAATAATATTGGTTACCTAAATTGAAACTCGCAAATAGAAGAAATCGCAGTTGCAGTTCCCAATCTATTTTCAATTTTAAAATCGCTGCGATTGAATTGCAGTTTGAGATTTGTTGCTCATCTCTATTTACTACAATTGTTTAAACGAATTTCTATTTGGCGCAGTGACGACGCTCTGGGTCCGGGCGACCCCGGCGGAGGGAACATCGGCGGGCCCCTGATGACCAGCGTGGTGAACGGGGCCGGCCCCGTGGTGACCCGCAACGGACCCTCTTCGGCCGGCAGCGGCAGCGACCCCACGCCGCCCTCTTCTTCGGGGGCGCTGATGCAGGCCACCGCCGCCGACTACACACCCCAGTACCTGGAGCCTGACGACTTCAACAATTTCGACTTTCCCTCGTCCACGTGGACCGATCTCGGGACGGGATGGAGCGAGGCCACCAGGTCGGAGTCGAGGCAGAGCGTCACTCCGGTCTCTACACCGACGCCGAGGTAAGATTTTTCTATAAAAGCTGAGTTCGGAATGGTTGAAACATGCACACCATTGCATTTGATAATGCATCGGTGTTAGTTTGGTGTACACTTCTATTGCGTTTGCTAAGGAGTTTGTATGGTATTAACACCATAACACCATATGCTCGGTAAAAAAAAAGACGGCGCAGCGTTAGATTAGGTTAGGTTACTGTTACTGGGGTTTGGGATCCGGTTTGATCCCTCACTCGGAGGGGCCCATTGCGATACCCCTTGTATTATTGTATACCAAATCTTCCTTTCATTCTATCTCTGCGTTAGAGCACTTCCACCTCTTTGCAAAATTCCCTAAGTCGCTGATGTTGGCCTTTCAAAAAACCGTCGGTTTTGCAGCGCCGGACAGTGGCACAGCAAGTGCTCCATGGTTTCGTTTCTTCCTCTCTGCATTCTGCTATTCACGAGGTTTACCCACGTGGAGCAGTTTCCAGTGACGACACCTACAAGCGTACTGGGTTCTTTTTGTGCTCTAGTAGTTATTTTGTCTTTTTTTCTATCTACAACTAGCCACAGTCTTCGAATTATATACTTCTACTTTCTTAAGCACGAGTCAAGGACTACGTGCTTGCGTGGCCTTAGCTACAGAGGCTACATCATCCATGGACCGTAATACTTTTCTTTTTTTCAAAATCTGTTTTCAACATTGTCCGTCTTCATCAAGTTCGAGTTTTTCACCCTTCCGGGCTGGCAATATCCGTTTGCATAAGGCCTCTAAACCTCCGTGACAACGTGAAACCTGAAAATACTAAAGAAATCCAATTCACATTTTTTCAATTCACAATCCATTCCATTTTTTAAGTATACCCTATCTGTGTATGGTAGAGTTGGCTAAAACGTAAATTCAAATGTACGGGGTGTCCCATTTTCGTGTGTTTTACAGGGTTTCTCGTTTAAGAGTAGAGATACAAAGATGCGGTTTTCACATAACTCTGCTATTTTTTATGAAACTAAGGATGCTACACACAGATTTGTTCTAGTCCTCTTCATTTTTGAAATTCAGGGCAAAATTGAAATTATTTTATTTTTGATTCCCTTCGTGTCCCTATTCTCGGTTGTCTTCTAACTTTATCGAAAGGATGAAAACTGACTCCTATAAGGTTTTTCACGAGGTTTTTCACGTAGAATACAATGTTTGTGTGCGTAACTAGTTTTTCGCTGGGAGATGACACAAACTCTTTATATTCATTTTTGAAAGAAATGAATATAAAGAGATAGAAATAGAAGAACAGGCGGGTTTTAGAGCGGGAAGGTCTACTGTGGATCATCTGTTTACTATAACACAGGTCTTAGAGAAAAAAACCGCAAAAGATCAAAAGGTACACTTACTATATATAGACCTCCAAAAGGCTAATGACAGCATACCGTCAAATAAATTGTGGGAAACGTTGGAAATAACTAATATAAATGTCAACCTACTTAAAGCAGTTAGGAACTTATACCAGAACACCACAGCTATAATAAAAATACGAGACTCATTGTCAGAAAGCATAAAAATTTCAAAAGGCCTCAAGCAGGGATGTTGCCTATCTCCTATACCTACTATTCAAAATATACTTGCAACAAGCACTAAAAAAATGGATGCTTAAGTGTAGAGAAATGGGAATCCCCCTAATAAATGAGGACACCCTATACACCCTATTTTTTGCGGACGACCAGATAGTCCTAGCCCAAGATCACGACGACCTTGAATATATGGCAAGGAAGCTGATAGAGGAGTATAAGAAATGGGGGTTGGAGGTAAATATCACCAAAACTGAATGTATCACTGTAAGGAGGGGGCACAAGAGAACATAGTCTTAGAGGATGGAAGCGTGATAAAAAACTGTGACAAATATAAATATCTTGGATTAAAAATAACTAACGATGGAAAACTCGATAAGGGTATAAAAGATCGAATAATGCAAGGCAGGAGGGCAATATCTATGTTGAATGGTGTACTGTGGGATCAAGGAATCTCTAAAGCTAATAAAAAGAACATATATAATACGGTAGTGAAAAGCATAATAACTTACGGAAGCAAAGTATGGCAGTTGAAAAGCAGAACAGAGAACATGCTATTAGCGACCGAAATGGATTACCTGGAGGAGATCTGCTAGAAAATCGAAAAGAGAACAAATAACCAACGACAGAGTAACCGAGATTATGGGAGCAGAACACACAATTGTGGACGGCGAGGCAGAAATAAGAGGAAGGCCGCGACGAAGCTGGAAGGAGGGTGTGGATAAAGACCTAGAAAATAGAGAAATACCTGATGATCTCTGGCTAAATAGAGAAGATTGGAGGTTAGGTGTCGGAAAACGTCGTAGAACGTTCTGAACCGACTTATATATACAGGGTGATTCTTGTAAGTCGGTCATGCTTTCGGGGAATGATAGGGGACGTCGAAATATTAATTTTGATATAGCACACTATGGGTCGGAAATGCCTCTTACGCAAGATACAGGGTGTTAAAGTTTTTGAAAAATTAAAGATATTTTTTAATAGTTTTTTAACAGTTAAAGGTATCGTTATAAAATTTTATTATAGGAGTCTACCTAACAGAGACACTTTAAATGTAAAAAGAAGAGGTTTTAGTTTCAACCAGTAGCGTAGATGTGATACGCATCGGGTTTGTTTTAAAAAAAAATAGTACGCTACTGATAAAAATAAAAAATTCAGAGTTTTTTTATTTACTCGGTTTATTTCCAAGAAAAAATGTGCCTTGCAACTTTCTCCGTCTAATACCATTTTGTCACAATTTAGAAATAAATAATTTTTTTAATGAGAACCTTAAATACAGCTAATTATAACTAAAGGGCAGAAACACATGTGCATCGTTAGCTCCCTTCATCACTAACATGAGAATTTAAATAGGCCAAGGTTAGAGTTACATACCTTGGGTAACATTAGTATTTTTTACTATTAGCTCCTTAAATTTTTTATATTTAAACTACAAAATTTGTTTATTGTTTGTAATAAAATTCTTAGTTTTAAGATAGTTATAATAACTGGCATATTTAAGGTTCTCATTAAATAATTTATTTACTTTTAAATTATTGTGGTGTCTCTCTGAACAAACTCTGAAATTTTTATTTTTTTTCAGTGGCGTACTATTTTTTTGAAAAAATTACCCGATACGTATCACATCCACGCCACTGGTTTAAACTAAAACCTCTTCTTTTTAAATTTAAAGTTTCTCTGTTAGGTAGACTCCTATAATAAAATTTTATAACGATACCTTCAGCTGTTAAAAAAACTATTAAAGAATATCTCTAATTTTTTAAAAACTTTAACACCCTGTATCTTGCATAAGAGGCATTTCCGACCCATAGTGTACTATATCAAAATTAATATTTTGACGTCCCCTATCATTCCCCGAAAGCATGACCGACTTACAGGAATCACCCTGTATATAGATGACACAAACTTATTTTTTTAATGGAACACCCTGTATATTTTTTTAAATTTTATTTGCCTTGTTATTAGCCATTAATAAGACAAAAATGCATTATTGAACATATAGGCGGCCGGCCAGTTTAAATTAGGTAATCAACACAGTCAATTTTTTCGGCGTCAAATTTTAGTTATTGACTATTCCACGCTAATTTTAAGTGTGTTGAATTGGTGCACAAGTGCATCAAAAATATAAAAAGTAATTCTGACTGATACGATGTTACCCTATATACAAGATGTAACAGTATTCCGTGGTCATAGAATTACAAGATTTTTTCTATTCAAAATAAGTTAATTGAACACAGTTCATATCTATACAAAAGTGTATAGAGGTTTTTTTTGTTTTTTTTTTTGAGAACACCTTTTAATTTTTGATTATTTCAATGCGTTTTTTTGTGGACATCTCTAGCTCTCTGACCACGACATAATAGTTTTGTTTCACAACTAACGATATGACTCAAATTAATTGGTCTTTCTTATTACTGTTACAGGCCGCCTAGCAATCCTTCGTACAGCAACACCCCTACGGTGGTTCAGAGTCCTCTGGCTCATTTTTCGGCTCAGCAAAGTCCGGCCAATCAAGCTCAACAGCAACAACAAAATCAGAACAGCAACTTTAATCCGTTCAGCTTGATGGAGGATTATTCTGAACAGAATTGTTACCCAGTCGAGGAACAGAAAGATACCAAAGCTAATGTGTTAGAAGAAGCAGCGAGTCTTGCTGATTCTCATAGGTGAGTGTAAAAAATGATGTAAATATATATTTTTTCATTCAGTTTTATACAGATACTGACGAAAAGTTATTACTCTTTAGAACAGTTAAAAATATGTAGATGGCGCCCCTACAAGTAGGTGTCACACTGACATCGAAATCGAATTAATATCTTGTGTAATAAAACACCTAAAAATCAATGTTCATTCAAATATCAACGTTAGTTCAGGAATTATTTAGAATAAATCGAAATAAAAATAAGACATCTACACCCTGTATCTCTGAAACGAAGCCATTTTAGGACATAAATTAATACGAATTTATTTTTATCTGCAGAATATGCTGCCGAAGTTTCCCGAATTCAATTCGGACCGCCCTGTATATTTTAATTTTATGCTTTTTAAAATGCACCTGAAATTCCAAAGTCATTTTGTGTGTCAATCTATCTATCGTTTGCGTATTTAAGTGTATAAATTAGTGATGGGCATTACGAGTCTTTGTAGTGGATCGAATCACACGATTCAATTTTTCATATTGAATCGACTCTTACGATTCGTTTGAACGAACCACATGCACATTTTACGTTTCATAAAAAACAAGAATGGCACTACCGGCGATAATTTGGTAGGACAATTACTTAAGGGACCAGAAAAGAAATATACATTTCTTTCATTTTTTTCAACACTTTATGACACTGGAGTAATTGGATTGATTATTTTACCAATAATATTAAATTTTCAATCCAATTTATATAATATACTATTTATTAAAGACTTCTTAATACCAATTTAATATTTTTAGAGCCATATTTTAATTCCGATTTAATAATCATAATAAATAGTATATAATACCGCATGATCGGAAAAAATGGCGTCCATTTGGCTTGCAAATGAACATCGATGACAATTCCCGTATAATTTTAGATATAAAATGACAGCGATCTTCATTTTTTAACCATCGCTGACGCCGTTTTTTACTACATTGAGCAGAGGCCAACAATATTTATTTGGAGTTGCAGAAAAACACGATTTCGTCTTTTAGTCCTACATTGAATAGTCGGTAATAATTTTAACAAAAATTGGCGCCGGGAGGCACGTATAGCCGCCCATGGTAAAATATGTTAATAATCAGTTATCTCATAAACTGCGACTTTGGTTGATTTTGATGTTATTACAAATTTTGTTGCAAATATTATTCCTAATCTTAAATTGAAAACCGCGTTTCGCTAGCTACTGTAATTTTGGAGTTACGATTTTTTTAAATTTTTAACCCCCTCCCATACCAACCCCCCAACCCCTTACCAACCCCCCAACCCCACCAAAAACTAATGGCCAGATTCTCAGGTACCACAGTATTTTTGTGCCAAATTTGGTTAAAATCGGTTTAGCGGTTTTTGAGTTATAGTGTTACATTTATCACCCAAATTCAGTCATTTTTTTTTTCAGTTTCAGTCATTTATGGCCCAAATAACCCAACGCAATTTTTTGCCGATCTTAATAGCCTACCATACCTGTTGGTATGGTCGGCTAAAAATATTAATGTGATAATTAAATACCTTACAAATACTCTCGTACAGTATAAATAAGTGTTTTTCTTGTAAATAGCTTTCTTATCGTTTGTATTTTATACCCATGATGTTTGTTTAGGGTTTTTGTTCAAGTCTAAATATTGGTGCCTACCTATTGCATTTATGCCTTATCACCGCCGGCACCGCGCCGTAGAAACGATCAATCGCATTGTGATCCAATTCAATTCTCACGATTATTTTTTACGACTCATCGTTCAAATCTTATGGATCCGTGCTGGCCACAATTCAATTGAACGAACCGTATTGTAAGCAAAGAATTAATTCTTAAGACTCTTTGAACGCACGATCGTATTGTGATCCGATTCAATTCTCACGATTCTTTTTTACGGCCCAACGTTCAAATCTTATAGATCCGTGCTGGCCACGATTCAATTGAACGAACCGTATTGTAAGCAATGAATCAATTCTCACAACTCTTTGAACACACGATCGCATTGTGATCCGATTCAATTCTCACGATTCTTTTTTACGGCCCAACGTTCAAATCTTATAGATCCGTGCTGGCCACGATTCAATTGAACGAACCGTATTGTAAGCAGTGAATCAATTCTCACAACTCTTTGAACACACGATCGCATTGTGATCCGATTCAATTCTCACAATTCCGGATTGCAAGCTATGAATTGAATCTCACGATTCATTTTTAATATCGTTCAAACGAACGACTCGTTCAATCTTTGCCCACCTCTAGTATAAATGAATATGATTTTTCTCTGTTTTATACCTGAACATATTAAACTTATATCGAATCATTTTTGTGTTTTACAGATTACGAATTCTTCTTACCAATCCGCCGACTTCGAGCGCTAACAGCAATAGTTCTAGCTCGCAGCAGGACGAGAATCGCGATCGTATTTTAAAGGAGTTGCTAAATCAACAGGACGATGATCAGGGTAACAGGGTGGACAACAGGAGCAGTCCGCGAGGTTTGATGAGTAGGGGACAGATGGGACTGCCGCCAGAACCACCCAAAGCTAGTACTTCGACGACGGGGAATAACATGCTACGACAGGTAAGTGATTTTTGAAGATTTATTTTACTGAATAAAAGCACCAGAGAGGGAATACATCAATAAAATTAGCGATAGGGGGGTTTAAAAAATACGGCTGGCCAAATCCGCCTTATTAGTCCGGTTGAGCTCCCAAAATCCGTGTGTTTTTGGAAGGTGGCCTATTTTTTATGATTCTAAATAATTTTTAAGGTGTTAACGTTGGAATTAAACGTCAACTTCGAAAATTTTGGCATTTGGTCGCTACATTAAATTATAACAACAGAAAAAAATAAAGGTGTAAATAAAAATAAGATGTTTCCTCTCGGAAACGATAAGTAGCTAAACCACCAGTGAAGCCTCTACGGATAGGGCTAGTGGAGCTCTATATTCGCACCATTTAAACTGTGTTTCGGAAATGCAAAGTTTCCGAGATATTTAATTCGAAAGAGTTTGATTGTCGATTTTCTGGATATATCCCTTTGAGAAAAATCGAATTTTTTATTTATTAACTTTTTCCAACTTTCTCACATGGTACGGTTAGAAGACATTAATGTAAGAATTCCAAATGCAATTTGACCCGCTTTTTAGGTTATGTATTTTTCCGGCCAAAATCGAGCTTTTTTCATTTATTCCGATTTGAAAGATTTTTGGGGATGGATCGATGCAGATTATAGTCTAAGAGCACGTAAAGTATTAAATAATTCTGGTGATTAAAAAAACAAATATTTAATACTTTACTATCAGAATATAAACCATAAACGAAAATAAAATAAAAAAGTTTTTATCCTGATCCTGACCCGGATTCGAACTCTGAATCCTCGGTTTGTGGTCGGAAACTTTCCGCACTGCGCTATGGAGACATGCTCGATTTATATTCAATACTAGATTTTAAAGGACTAGTAAAAATATAGGATCTTCTTTCAATGCGCAGTAGGGAACGCAACGTTTACCGGCAGCCAGACATGCTGTTCTAGAGAGCATAGTAAAAGATATATCAAAGAGTCAGACGCCTTAAAATACTTGTTTTTCCGACGTTGCTAGCTCTCATAGTATTGATTAGTTAAGTTTTTTAGTATACACAGTTTGTCAAAAAACTACATACAGGGTAATAAAAAACATAAAAACCGATTTTTTCATTCTACGTAAATTATCTACCGGCGGCGCGGCGGCGCGGCTTTATGTCGCTAATTTTGAATTAAGATTTATTTCTATAAACATAGCTACTATCGTAGGTATTATTGATATAAACTTAATAATACGTCTTGCGAAACATCTGTCACACGACGCGACGTTGTATTTTCAAGTTTGTATCCATAATAAGAAACGCTGTTATTGTTTCTGTCGGTGAGTTTCATTCTGACTATACAAGGCAATCGAATTTAACAGTAATTCCTACCTACATATCGCTAAGATTCTTTCGGCACCTGCTCAGCCTTCCGCCGTAATCATCGGTTCTCGATTATTATTAGACCTACTCTTCTACATTCCCTCCGTCTTTGTTCGCGTAAGTATGCGAAATTGATTTGCGGTTTGGATAAGGATGGTCATTTTATGAAAAAATTATCGATATACCAAGTGTAAATGAATAAACAAGTGCGAAAAAGTAAAGTAAAAACGAGGATACCCGACAATAATTAATAGCTATTTATATTTTTTAAGGTCTTCATCCTCCTCTATTAAAGTTGCTCTCCTTTCTAGGCATTGATAAGTAATCAGTACTCTTCAAAAAAGTCCTATGAGTATTTCACCTCTTGCACTGTAAGAAAATCTAGAAAATTAAATAGTTATTTTTTGCAAATACTGCTGCGTTAATCCAACGTAGACCAACTTGTCAACAGTGACTTACTAATAAAGAAATTTGCCTAACGGACAAAAAAATGCTTAACGTTTCGGGAACTTCCCATCGTCGGAAGCAAAAAAGCACAACTGACAAGCACAAAGTGACAAAGAAAAAAACTATTTAAAATATCTAAATACAGCTATTCAAGAACACTTTAGTTTTTTTTCCCAACAGATAGTCTATAAAAATAATAATTTTTTAAGTGTAAAACCACTTGGCATATCATAACTTTTTATATTTATAACATTTTCCAAATCCATAGAGAAATGGTAACCTCTAATGTTTGGAAAAATGTTATAAATATAAAAAAATATGAATATATCAAGTGGTTTTACACTTAAATAAGAAATTTTGGAGTTAATCGAATTGTGCTTATGTATGTGAACGGCTCATATGTACTGATTGATAACTTCTTCTGATCTAATCTAGACTTAAACTTATTTTGACATAAATTAAAAACTCAAATATCTATTAAAAAACATAAAATATAACTAATACATTGAACAACATTATACTAAATAATAAAATATCATATTTAAACTTCAATAATTATTGCCAATAAACATTAAAGGAACATCAACGGGGATAATAAGCTAAAACAATAAGAAATAGCATCATTCCTTATTTAGAAGAGTTTCATTTCGATCGCTAGAGTATCAAAGGACATTCTCATGTAACAAAATTTTTAATTATCGTTACCGAATCCTTAATGAGCCGGGAATTAGTTTCGAAGTCCGGTTGTGTGATGGCCAAAGAGATCCTGAAATTCCCAGTACTTTCAAAACCCGGTACTTTCCCGGTTCTGAAACATTTAGCAACATTATACTAAATAATAAAATAATATATTTAAACTTCGATAATTGCTAATAAAAATTATAGGAACTGCAAAAGAACTTCATAAATAAGAACAATAATATAGCATCACAAGAATCTCAATCTCATCACAAAAATCAAAATCTCATATAGCATCAAAAGGTTGGTAGACACCTCAAAAAATTCTCTCCAAGTATGAGCTCTTATTTTTTAGGGTCCTCCGCATTTCAGTTTTCTATTTTTTCCTTATTATTAGAAAGAAAAATTCATATCTCGGTATCTACTATTTGGAAAAAATATCTCGTAAAAAATTGAGTTATAAAATTCATAAGAAAAAAGAAAATTGCCTTAAAATAATCAAACTTCAACCTTTAATAACTTTCGAACGGTGAGGTTTACAAAAAAGAGAATTCAATTTCCTAAGCGATATTTTTTTCAAATGTAGATACCGATATATAAATTTTTCTTTCTATTAATAAGAAAAAAATAAAAAACTAAAAGGCGGAGGACTTTCCTATTAAGAGCTCATACTCGGAGAGAATTTTTTGAGTGGTCTAGCAACCTTTTTTTCACAATATAAAGTAAAAAAAAATTGTCGATTTTTTTGACCCACCCTAATCACTACTTAGAAGAATTTGATTTCGACCGCTAGAAAGTATCAATGGCATTTTGCATGTAACAATTTTTTTTAATTATTGTTACCGAGTCCCGAAAGTACCGAAAGACCCGGGTATTAATAATTTCGAGTTTCGGTTCTTTGATGTCTCCGGGATGTTCCCGGTTCTGAACCCTAATTGGCAGCCACTTCAGGTTAAATCTACCAATTTCATTATTATTTATTTCCTATTATTTATTTGCCAGGAAATAGGATATGCTTGAAAAAGAAAGTGCAATTCATAATATCCTCAAGACAAAATTTCATTAAAACATCAATAAAAATAGAAAATAGCGAAAAATATAAAGGTACGCGCACACTGACCAGCGCCGCGGCGCGCCGCACTCGCCGCACGAGTCGCACTTTCTTTTCTTGTCGCGCACACTGAACCGAACATTATTTGCTATTTTGTTTCTTTTTGCTCCTACTACACCCATATTTGTCAATCGAATTTCTCATCAGTCGCTTCCGGAGTCCTGTCTGCGGTGATAAGATAAGCGTGTTTTTTTTAATATTTCTCGACAATGAACGACAACGAACAAAAAATAATTATAAGCTCCTTGCTAATAGAAGAAGAAGAAATCACGAGAAAGAATCGAAAGTTATAGGTTCACAACATTTGCAAAAATCCACATTGCGCACACTGACCAGCGCCGCACTCGCCGCACGCGCCGCATTATTTGCTATTTAGTTTCTTTTTGCCCCTACTACACCCATATTTGCCAATCGAATTTCTCATCAGTTGCTTCCGGAGTCCTGTCTGCGGTGATAAGATAAGCGTGTTTTTTTTTATATTTCTCGACAATGAATGACAACGGACAAAAAATAATTATAAGCTCCTTGCTAATAGAGCAAGAAGAAATCACGAGAAAGAATCGAAAGTTATAGGTTCACAATATTTGCAAAAATCCACATTATTTCCATATTTAATTGAGGATAAACTAAAAATTTTTCAATATGAGCCATGAAAAAATTGCGAACTTTCTTAGCATAGTGAATTTCTAATCTCCTCTTCGGCTACCTACGTAGAGTGGAAGGAATTGCGTGTGACGTCAGCAACACTAGCCGCATTTATCGAAAATCATTCTGGCCCAACAATGCTGGCCGCATTTTCGTCGATGCGATTCGTGCGGCTCTGGCTAGTGTGCGCACCTTCATTGAAAGTAACACAAACAATATTTTTCTTCGGCCGATGCGGCACGTGCGGCTCTGGTCAGTGTGCGCGTACCTTAAAAAATCTATTTTTTTAACATTTTGATTTTCGATGTTTTTCAAAAACATCAAGATTTTTCTCAAATCTACCTTTGACATTTTAACTTTAATATCGACATCTCGGAAATAAAATTAATCTGCGAAAATATCGATAAATCGATATTTTCTTATAATAAAAACATCGATCTTCTCGGACGTTCCTAGGTTTTGTTTTAAGGCTGCTCCGTAAATACAATACTTCGAGCGATTCATAATAACTCGCCAACCAACCTTGAACGAGATTCTTCACGTTTTCGGATCAGATTTATTTACAGTCTAAAGACGCTCGATTGCTGTGAAGTTAGCTTGAATAAAGATGTTTTTTTGTGAAACTAAACGTCATATAACTCCGTTTGTTTAAAAACAGTAGAGACACTGTTTTATTTCAAACTAGCGTGTACCAGCGACTTCGTTCGCGTCGAATTAATCATTTGTAATGGTGATGATAAAGCAAAGCAAGAA